ACAGAAATAATTATATTGTTTCTGAAGACTTAATGGATTGGATAACTCCGTGATATTTATTTGCAGGCTCTGATAATAAGCATGTGTTTTTAGTTCACCTTTGTAAAATTATTGTGTATCCAAAATAATATAACGCAGTTTTATTAAAAATCTGTACTTGTTTTATTTATATTGTTTCTGTAATGGTGCTTTATTTTTATTCAAATTTAATATGGGAGTGTAAATTGAATCCTTGCATATTCCTCATTTTGTGCAGTTTGTACAGGAACATAAATTTTAGTTTTGCTGCATTTACCATGTATAAACTGATATTATCAAAAATACAACAAATCTGAAAAAAAGATCAAGGTTGCATAACCTAATTATTGAGTATCATTCGTTCTATGATTAGCATTCATAAGTGGGTTATAAGGATTGAGTACATTATCATTATTCTAATTAACAGACAAATTATAATTATTTGATTATTTTGCAGATTTTGTATAGGTTGGTTGTATTGGTTAATAACAAGTTTCTATTAGCTGTTTATATAAGTACTGTGAGCATAATGTGATGGATGTTTTGCAAATTGTGCAGATTAACTACCACACTGAGAGATATAAAAAGTACTGCAGATAAAAGCACCTAGGATTAATTTATATGTTAAAGTAAACACTGTGTCATTAAAGGTAATAGAAAACCAACTGGTCAGACTAATTTGTTCTTTATTGCCAGAAGTGAAAGACATTTATTTATTAGTTTGCATCTATCATTTATCAGGTACAAGCCAAATAAACCAAATGTATAGACCAAATTTTAAAAAAGTTCAGAATAGCAGACAATAAGATGTGTGTGTAGAACTGCAGGAAATGTCTAAAGGATCCATTGGAGAGTGACATACAGTAATTAGCAGTTCTCTTAAGAAAAATGCTTTAATATTCTGTTCTACGCACTTTTGTTCTTTAATTCTTACATTTCCTGTGTTTCTTGGACCCAGGTAGTAGTTTGGTCCACATTCCATGAGTGATTACAGGTGCCACACATTGTACTATCGATTTAATTACATCTTCACAGATATCCACGGAGATAAGGGACCACTCAGTCTCCAGCACAATTATGCATTAGATGTGGGTAGTATTTCAGTAAGTTCTCTCAGCCTGAATTGCACATGCTGTGTTCTTATCCTGTAAACCCTTGAGATTATCGGAATTGACAAATTATTCAGGTCTGCAGTTACCATCAGCAATGCAGCACAGGGCACTTGCTCCAACAATTATGCCTCTTGTCAGGTCACTTCTTCTCTACAGCCTGAGTAGATAGCAATGATTACAAATTTACTGTATTGTATATCTGCATTTGATAAACCAGCATGAAGCTGCAGCAGTGAGCTGGTGAATATTTCTCAGGCCCCAAGCCCTGCCAAGAAGAAAAGGCAACACTCAGATGGAATGTGCTCCATCATTTATTCTGGGTGAACAAATTCCCACACAGATGTTTCCAGATTTTCCATATGAGAACAGCTTGCCCTGAAGTGGTTCAGTGTTACTAACACGGGTCAAAAGACAATAGGTCCTCAACAGTAAACGTCTTTTGTTTGTTCATTTAGCCACTCTTGTTTTTCTTTCAAGTGGTTGAAGCAGTCTGTGAGGTTCTCCACTGACCCTCATCATTGATAGTGATAGACTGCGCACTGATGAATACAGGATCACAGGATTTTAATCTTTTTTGGGGGGGTTCTGCAGATCATGGTGCAGAGCAACCTTCATTTTTGCATTCATCTGGTTGATGAAACAAGAACTGTGGCCAGTTCTACTGATATGTAATGACCTGATCTGGTAAGTTCAGTTGAGTAGATGGAGCAGTAGATAGAGCAGTTCCATGACCTTGCTGGTGATGGAAAGAAGAGAGATGTGGCAGGAGCTGCTGAGATTCTTTGGGAGTTTTCTAGGTTTCAGGAAGACATTGATTGCTGCCAGCTTGTTGGCAATTTTCTGGTTCTGTACAGAAAAATGTGTCTCCCTACCATACCCATTCCCATCAGCAAAGATTCTCGCGAAACTCTGAAGAAATGTACAGTAATTCACTTCTGTGAACTTCCAGTTTTCGGTGTATGACAGCATTGAAATCCTCCACAAAATATACAATGGAGAGTGTAGATTCTTCTGGGTATTGTCAGAGGCACTTAATGTACATTACCTTTTTTTCCATTATACAGCACATGGAAAAAAGTGCCTGGTCATCTATTACTTATAATATTTATTAATATTGAAACATACCAGTTGCTGGGCTATTAATTCTACATTAGACAGTTTGTGTTGCTCCTATGGAATTCATACTGTATATATACTGTACAGTACTTACTGTATATATTGTATGTTACAGCACCTTCATTTTGCTTTAAAAAATATCTGTCTTTGTAAGAGATCTCAGTCCATTGTAATCACAACACTGAAGGTTTAAAAGAAATACATTTTTGACATTAATGTACTGTACAGTGGATTTTAAAGTCAGATTTCACAGTCAGATTTGGCATTCAGAATGGCCTCTAATGAGTTTAAAGACAGCCAGAAGTGCATCTAGACAGCATAAAACGATAGTGAATTTAGCTATTTTATTATGCAGGAGTCATGCAGTGTTTAACGGAGAGAAAGATGAATCTCCCTTGGCATACATTAGACCACTGCCGGACGTTTCAGTGTGTCAAAGTCTGTCATTATCTGACGTCAACAAGCCAGAAATGTGACTGATTTGCCTTGTTCCAAGCATCCATGTGTCACAGCCTTTCATCAGGATCAGCTACTGGCAAACACAACAACGTAAGAGACAGTCCCTGAACACCACAGAACTGCAGCAACACCTTCATCAGGCTGAGAGGATAAAGTCTTTATCCAGGCAGTGAGAAATCACTTTCAAAGCACTCAGTGACCTTACTTTGCCTATAAACATCAAACATCACCAGAAAAAACAGAATGGTGTAGATACCAGTGTTCACATGTCATGTCCTCAAGGTCTGGGACTTTCACGATGGCCACTCCAGGCCTCCTCAACAGGACCTCCAGGAGCCTAGAGTCTTTCTGCTAGAGGAATGGGACAATATTCCCCTGTATTTCACTACAGTTTGTTCATCAAAGTATCAAAGTATGAACCACAGGAGAGGGATCAAGACAGCACTGAAGCAAAATGAAACCAATGTGAAATTTAATTCTTTACCTCACAAATACTTGCACCGTCTGTGCCTTTACTTCAGTTTGACTGTTATAAGGAGGTTACTTGATTGTTAATATGCTAACTGGGAATGAAAGTTCAATCAGGTTTGTTTTATTCCTGATTTCTATATCTTATATGTTTTGTATGCACTATTGAAAATGAGAGAATTGTTTAACTCTAAACAAATTAAAAATTTCTAGGTAAATTTGCAGTTTCAAACAAATCACAAAATATTTGATTCAGAGTGCACATATACATGGGTCCTGGTTCAAGCTGATATTCTGGAACCCTTTTGTACAGTATGTTTGCATTCTGGGGAGGGATACCCCTCACATATTTTTCACTCTCTGGGAGGGGTTACTCTTGCAGATCTTTTGTTTTCTGGAGGGTGAGGGGGAGCAGGGGTGTTGATAACTCTCTGGGGATACTGGACTTGGATGCAGGCACATCTTTTACATCACCCTCTCATCAACCCTGGCTTGATTTCACAGTATTCAATTTCTTAGTCATATTTATTTATGGGATTCTTTCTGTTTCCTGCACTATTAAGCTTGTTAGGAATGTTCTTTGATGATAGTTTTTGTATGTGTCCTCAAACAGCTTTTTGACG